GGGGGGGTTGGGGGGGGGGGTCAAAAGTTTCTTGAAATTGAAATATAGATAGTTGAGCTATTAAATTTTGGGGAGAAGGAGAGCAGAAGTATAGATCCAGCAGAACTTCCCCTTTCTACCCTTCTCGACTAATCATGAACAGACAAAGATGATAAGCTACCTGTGGTACTTATCTTTCAAGCACAGCAGTATATATAGAAGTAAAAGTTTCAAAATTATCTGCTCTGTATACATAGCCATATTTTGGCTCATGGCTATCTTAGTCACTCATAAGGAAAGATGACCATAGAGGGTTGATGGATGATCTTATCCAAGACATCTTGGCTTAATAGTAGGAATAGAACTAGAAAGGAAAAGTCAATATGCAACCAGAAGAAACGGAAGGTATAAGTGGAAATAAATATGTTAGCACAATCTAGTTATTCCACTTCCTAAATTTCTTTTGGAGGTCACTTGTAGTAGGATATGAGGATTTAGGTAAGGGGGTAGGAAGCAACCTAGAGACGTTTCCAGATAACCACCAAAGTAACTACTACTGGACACCAAAGTACAGAATGAGGGACAGGAGGCTATAGCTGGAGGACAAACCTGGACGATAGGATGGAAGATGAATCTCTGACTGTCAGCACTAGGAACCGAATAGTTGTTTTTTGACACTCAGAATTTAAAGCAGCCTCTGGAAAACAAAACAGAAAGAAGCTTAGAGAATCTTCTTTAAATCAATAAATGGGAGGATGAGTTTGTTAATGACGGTATGTGGAGGAGGCCTCCGTAGCATAAGTTACACAGCCCAGGGAAGGGAAGACCTTAAGAGGACTCTGGTAGCATCAGCCCATTGGGAAAAGCTAAACCAATATAATTGGACTGCCAATAAGCAATTCAAGGACACTCTAAAGTCTAAACACTTAAAGGGATAGCCAGCACATATCATTCCACAGCAGTGTATACAACTATACATAGTGATGGACTTTATGACAGATATAGTGAGAAAAAGCACCAAGAATGATGTGGTTCAATGCATAAGGTTAAAGACCCAGGCACATTTCAAAACATCATAACCTATTGATTACCGGTCATCTCAAGGTCAATCCATACAAGCGGCAATTTGTACTCTCCTGAAACTGACTTCTGATCCTCTTTTTCATGCTCAAGTACTTCCATCTCTCCTGGGCTGCCATATTTGTCCTTTCCTTTACCTGCGTAGTTCACAAATTGTCATTTCTTGCAAGCAGAAGCTATAGCAACGGTTTAAAAAAGACGGCTAAGGATTAAGGATGAGCTGCATTATTATTATTTTTAGCTGAGAAAACCCCGAGGGCCAATGGCACATGGTTCGGAACTCGGTGGATAATGGGGCCTCCCCTCTATGGTTCTCCACTTAAAGATTAGCTGCATATTTATTTATAGTTTAGATAAAATGATCTGTTTCTTTCTGACCTTTTCTATTTACTCTACCAGTGCCCCCATTAGTAATATCAGTTCGGGTTTCATCCTGGCTATCTGCAACATCCAAATTTAGCAATGAAAAGGCATTTGAGATTTGATTCATCTCTATCAAAGTCCTTGGTCATTAAGCTCCTGCGCAACTGACAGATGGATGATGTTAGAGATACATGAATAATTTTATTCACTATGAAAGAAAAGAGAGAAAACAAAGAGATTAGTAACTTCTCCGGGATCGGGTACTACAACATAAGAGAGAGGTTCAGCTTTCAAGAATCACAGACCAATCTAGCCCAGTAGCAATCAGCACTGGAAGTTGCATCAGAGAGTGCACAAGATAGTAATGGTAAAATGTAAAACATTTTTTCCTCATCATCATCTTCTCAAGAGTTGATTAAGGGGTAAATAAAGGTCAGGTCTCTTAGATAGAAACACTTAATGTTGCTTTTCCTTGAATGTTTGCGACCAGTTGAGGGTATCAAGTGGAATGAAAGAGTTTCACATTGGAAGGAAAGGAAGAACAGTCACCCCGTGTGCCAATTGCAAATATATCAACACCGACAAGCTCTATCACAGAACTAGTTGGGTTCAGTTATGCTACCTTCATTTCAGTTCATGTGAACGTGTTTGACTATGCAGGAGTTTAAAGGGGGAAAAAGACTATAACTTGTGGTCTTAAACATGTCAAAACACTTTTGTGGCTATAAAATCATGTCATAAAGGATGCCTCCAGAGCAGCCAACTGAAAGAGCCGCGGTCAAACGAGATAATCACTAGAAAAGAGGCGAGGGTCATTGGGCGGTCATCGAAAAGGAAGCGGAAGTGCAAGTATCGAAATGGTCACAGCAAAGAAGAGTTTTGCCCCTAAAAGGTCACTAAAAGAAGACAGAAAAGAAGAAAACTTTAACTGGGCAGGCGACAAAAGGTCAGCGCTGGTAGACGAAAGCTACTCAGGTTTCTACCAAGATCAGGACACTTTGATATCATGTGAAAAAGCAAGCAAATGAGAGAACTTGCCTTGTCTTGAGTGTAAAAACAATGTACAAGAAGACCTCCTCATGTAATTACAATATGATAAATAGTTATCTTCTACATCTAACAAGGCAGGTAATATCATACAATTAAATACAAATGATTCTAGAATACCCTGTACAATTTTCTTGAGTCACTCCATGAACTTAGACATATTTTTTTGAGATGAAATTTGAACTTAGACATATTTAAATATATAATTTTATTGATTCTACTGACTTTCAACACTCTCAATCATCATAGAATCAGCATTTAGCCTGAGAATGACATGCTAAAACCATCTCTAAAGATGTTCTCATCTGTCCTCTAAGTGTACTACTCAAACCTTATGTAATTTGATCATTTTTTATTTGTCTAATTATTATGGCTGCACACTCATCTTCTTATACGTATTTTTACGAAACTCATCTTGAGAATATGCAAGACTCTTACATAATATTGTTGGTATGGCAAGGGGTTCTGTAAAACTGGTCTTTCACTATAGTGTTTACATTCCCATGACATTCCTCCAGTTTAGTTATCCTACTTCGCTTTTATGCGTTAAATCTTCATCTCTCGTGTCATTTCCCTGGAAAACAGACTCTATACATTATAATTTCTTATATTTAGTCTGAACTCATTTCAACTTCATTCTTCTTGTAACAACTACTACTTACCACGCATATATCTAAATTCGCCAACTCCAATAACTTACTAAGCTCCCGTTATGCGCGGGGTTCGGGGAAGGGCCGAACCACAAGGATCTATTGAAAGCAGCCGTACCCTACATTTCTGCAAGAGGTTGTCTCCACGGCTCGAACCCGTGACCTCCTGTTCACAAACTTAGCATTTTTCCTTTAGACGAAGAAATCATTACATATGGCATAAACAACCTCTCTCTTAACATAGAATACTCCTTATTACGTTGCTTTTTAGATCTTCCCCTCCTTCTATGTACACGAAGGTGTTATTCTAGTTTGTTCGAATTTACGCACTCCCCCAGTCACATTTTTGTTTAGGGGTGAACCACATAGTGTGGTGGGTGCTCGAGCACCCATTGACCCCGACTCAAACTATATGTATTTATTTAGAAAAATGAAAAGTGATTATAACGGGTCAGCTAGCACCCATGATCCGAAAAAGACTTGATGGGTGCTTTGGTTTCGAGATGGGATATAAAGGTCCTACATTGAAGAGTATCACGGTTCGATTCTCCCTCACAGCATTTGTTTAAAGTTTAAACATAGCTAATTATTTTTCTAATGCTTAACATGCTTACTTTGTTTCTCTTCGATGCTGATTCTTCTTCCTATGTGTTACTGTTTAGTTTCTTTTATTTTTCTCCACTTCTTTCTCATTAGTCTGATTCATTGTGGCTAAAAGAGGAAAGAAAAAAAATTTATTTGCACTAGCTTCCAAACCTTGAGCCTTGTTTTTAGTTAAATGCAAAATATTTCTCTGTTCTAGACTACTATTGTCTGTTGAGATAATATTCCTTTTTCAGACTACTAAAATTGAGGTTTTCATTTGAGAAACAGAAAGAGAAGTAAAGTCCTCGATTGACACAGCAGAGGTAATACAGTCTTGCACTCGAGACTCGAGAACTGTTGCAAATACTTGGTTTGAGTATGCAAATTTTGTGAGGATTCATACAAATAAAGGAAGAATAAGGAGGAGCTCACCGGGTATAGCAGCAGAGAAAAGGCGGAGATTCTTCGTCGGAAGAAGCTTGAATACTTGAGTACTATGACCGAAGGAAGACTCAAGATCTCCGTCGCACCAATTATTCTCGTTTCATTTTGATTGCTTGTTGGGCCTCGGTATCATGCCTTTATTTGGTAAAAATTGTAGAAATTGCACGGGGCGTCCTATTTGGTCGCCCCCATTTAACATATACCCATTTATTTTTAAACTTTTAACTTGTACCCACTTTTTAAAAAACATCAGCTCCCTTTCTCCTCCTTCATTTTCTTTTTTCTTCTTCTACAGATCTGCGGACTATAAATATAGAAGTTCTTACTCTTGTAAAGGGTTGAGGCATTACAAGAAAATTTTGACGTCAACACCCACACTCTACATACTCTAACTATACGTAATAGTAGCTGTTAACTTGTCTTAAGAGTTACAAAGATAAAAACTTTAGCTCTAGAGCTGAAGTTTCTCACTTATAACACAAAAACTTAGTTTCCCGGTTATTAAACAAAAACTTATAAATAAAACTTCAGCTCTAGAGCTGATGTTTTTATTTTATAACTGGCAAACTTGTTTTTATTTTATAACTGGCAAACTTCAGCTCTAGAGCTGAAGAGCTGAAGTTTCCATGTTACTAAACAAAAACTTATAAAATAAAAACTTCAGCTCTAACATCAGCTCTAGAGCTGAAGTTTTTATTTTATAACTGGCAAACTTCAGCTCTAGAGCTGAAGTTTCTGTTATAACTGAGAAACTTCAGCTCTAGAGCTAAAGTTTTTATCTTTGTAACCCCTTAAGACAAGTTAACAGCTACTATTACGTATAGTTAGAGTATGTTGTTTTTTATACTAAATCGTGAATTCCTAACATCAGTCAAATCTTCAAGTCAACTTCCAGTCTTTGACATAAAAAATTTCTTGTAATGCCTCAACCCTTTACAAGAGTAAGAACTTCTATATTTATAGTCCGCAGATCTGTAGAAGAAGAAAAAAGAAAATGAAGGAGGAGAAGAGGGAGGAGAAAGGGAGCTGAAGTTTTTTAAAAAATGGGTACAAGTTAAAAGTTTTTAAAAAAATTGGGTATAGGTTAAATGGGGGCGACCAAATAGGACGCCCCGTGCAATTTCTACAATTTTTACCAAATAAAGGCATGATAACGAGGCCCAACAAGCAATCAAAATGAAACGAGAATAATTGGTGCGACGGAGATCTTGAGTCTTCCTTCGGTCACAGTAGTCTAGTATTCAAGCTTCTTCCGACGAAGAAGCTCCGCCTTTTCTCTGCTGCTATACCCGGTGAGCTCCGCCTTATTCTTCCTTTATTTGTATGAATCCTCACAAAATTTGCATACTCAAACCAAGTATTTGCAACAGTTCTCGAGTTTCGAGTGCAAGACTGTATTACCTCTGCTGTGTCAATCGAGGACTTTACTTCTCTTTCTGTTTCTCAAATGAAAACCTCAATTTTAGTAGTCTGAAAAAGGAATATTATCTCAACAGACAATAGTAGTCTGGAAAAGAGAATTATTTTGCATTTAACTGAAAACAAGGCTCAAGGTTTGGAAGCTAGTGCAAATAAATTTTTTTTCTTTCCTCTTTTAGCCACAATGAATTAGACTAATGAGAAAGAAGTAGAGAAAAATAAAAGAAACTAAACAGTAACACATAGGAAGAAGAATCAGCATCGAAGAGAAACAAAGTAAGCATGTTAAGCATTAGAAAAATAATTAGCTATGTTTAAACTTTAAGCAAATGATGTGAGGGAGAATCGAACCGTGATACTCTCCAATGTAGGACCTTTATATCCCATCTCGAAACCAAAGCACCCATCAAGTCTTTTTCGGATTATGGGTGCTAGCTGACCCGTTATAATCACTTTTAACATTTTTCTAAATAAATACATAGTTTGAGTCGGGGTCAATGGGTGCTCGAGCACCCACCACACTATGTGGTTCACCCCTGAACAAAAATGTGACTGGGGGAGTGCGTAAATTCGAACAAACTAGAATAACACCTTCGTGTACATAGAAGGAGGGGAAGATCTAAAAAGCAACGTAATAAGGAGTATTCTATGTTAAGAGAGAGGTTGTTTATGCCATATGTAATGATTTCTTCGTCTAAAGGAAAATTGCTAAGTTTGTGAACAGGAGGTCACGGGTTCGAGCCGTGGAGACACCCTCTTGCAGAAATGCTGAAGTTTTGTGTGATTGCCTTTGCTACTTCAGCCCCGTGTGCTGAAGTTATGCGAAAAAGCGGGTATGCTTGCAATTTTTTTTTCAAAGCGGGCACAGGTTAAAATGTGGCACAAAAAGCGAGTATAGATGCAAATGCCCCGTAAAAATTGGACGGCCGCACTATTTGGTCACACATTTAACATATACCTATTTTTTTTAAAATTTTAAATTGTAACCATTTTTTAAACAACTTAACCCCTTTCTCATC